TCACTTTTCTCCAGAAATTGCTTTGCAGAGATAACAGAGTTGTTGTTTATAGAGAGAGAGAGAGAGATGAATTGAAGAGAGAGTAGTGTTTGTGTATAGATAATGCATCAGAAGAAGTCTGAAGTTCAGATTGGGAAAGAAAGCAGTGGCGTCTCTTTTGATTTCAATCTTTAATTTCTTGTATGTGTATGCTTTCTATCTCTTCCTTGCTTCACCAGAAGCACTCCCAAATTTGCCGGCAATCGCCCGATTGCGTCCGCCGCCACCTCGCCGGCCGCTGTGGCCGCCGGCAGAAAGACCACCGCTCACCAGAGAATCCTTCCCGAGAATAATTCCTCCAATTCTTCCATCAACTCGATGACCAAATCCCACACTCTAAGCAATTCTCTGCATAAATACCCGTTTTATTCGGCCTTGCCCACCGCGAATGGCCCGTACCCGTTTAGGGTTCTGGGCCATTCCCATTTACCACCACTTCGACCACCTCCGCCGCGTCGTCCAGATTCACCTTCGCCTCATCCTCCTCCTCTCCTTGCATTTCTTCTATTTCCTGGTTTCCCACCCCACTAACTCCATCTTTCTAGCTTGTTCCTCTCTGCCTTTGCCTTCTCCGCATCAGTTTTGTTCTCTCTGCATTTGGCACTCCCCAGGCTGCACTCTATCCATTTGTTCCTTGCCAGGTCTTTCCCAATCAAACTCCCTCTATCCAGCCATGTCTCAAGAAGGTCTTTGCATGTGTCCTGGTCAATCGGTTCTTGGCCAAATCATGACAAGAAAGTGAGTTATGGGTGTTGGGTGCAGGCATATAGCAATGGTGATGTGTATGAGGGTGATTTTCATAAGGGGAAATGTAATGGGAGTAGAGTGTACTATTATTACATGAGTGGAAGATTTGAAAGGGATTAGGTTGATGGCAAATATGATGGGCATGCAGTGGAGACATGGGCAAGGGGAAGTCAATACAGGGGCCAATATAGGCATGGTTTTGACGTTTATCTGTTTTATACTGGTGATGTTTATGTTGGAGAATGGTCAAATGGCCAAGGCCATGGCTCTGGGGTGCATATCTGTGAGGATGCCAGGATGGTAGCCGATATGTTGGTGAATTCAAGTGGGAAGCATGGCCTTGGCCACTACCATTTCAGGCATGTTTAAGAATCTTCATCTTTTGTTGTTGTTGGACATTCATAGATCCATATACTGGAGTTGAAGAATACCCTACGAAGGGTTTTTTATTATTTTACTTTGCGTATAAATGGAGGATTATACGCTCAATAAGGGAAAGTACAGTTTTACCCTTAAAATAAACGGCAACTTAACCTTGCATTGACGGAAGGACCTCAATTGGAAAAAATTTAATAGTCAGATGGTTAAATTGTCCAAATTAAAAGTCGAGGACTAATTCTGGAAAATCATCATACTCGGGGGACCATTGCTGGAATTAACTCTAAGTAAATTATTGTGTGGACTATGATTCACACAATGTTATGTGGACCATAACAAAAAGTACATTTTTAATATATTAAATGTATATTATTTTTGTACTGAATGTACGTTATACAATATAATGTACACTGAGAACAAAAATAATGTACATTTCCTGAATGCAATGTATATTATTTTTGTACTGAATGTATGTTATTTTTGTATTAAATGTACATTATTTTACAGTAGACAAAATATGATCTACACAATAATGATTGATATTATAGTGCGCTGTGTGAATGGTAACAAAAATTACATTTATAATATACATCTCTTTAATATAATTTACATTTTTAATATATCAAAAAGTACATTATTATATTACAATAGAGAAAATTTCAATTTTGGTCATATAACTATAGGGGCTTTGTTAATTTTAGCACATGACTTTCAAAAGTGTCAATTTAATACCTTGACTATGTAATTTTTATCAATTTTGGTCATTCCGATTAAATTGCCGGTCAAATTTCGCCAGAAAAACTTAATCTTTCATTTAGTCTATAATCTGATGGGCAAAATCGTCTTTTGAAGTCTGGTAAAATCGTCTTTTCCCGACAAAATTTGGCCGGTAATTTGGTCGGAGTGACCAAAATTAACAAAAATTACATACTCAAGGTACTAAATTGACACTTTTGAAAGTCATGTGCTATAATTAACAAAGCCCCTATAGTCATATGACCAAAATTGAAATTTTCTCTATTACAATATATAAAACATATCTACACAGCTCGTGTGGACCACAATAATGATTGATACAAAGAATACTGGAGGGAATTTCAATTTTGGTCATATGACTATAGAAGTCTTGTTAATTTCAGTCCCTGACTTTCAAAAGTGTCAATTTAGTACTTTAACTATGTAATTTTTGTCAATTTTAGTCACTTCGGCCAAATTGTCGGTCAAATTTCGCCAAAAAATTTTAATAGTTAAAATAATGAGGATATTTTGGTCGTTTCACGCCTCTTTTCTTCTTCTCCGGCGAGTCCATCTCTTTCTCTCCCGTTTCCGGCGTTCTTTCCCCCTCTAAACCTTATATTTAATATCATCAAACCTCCTTTCCCCATCATCTTAGTTCATTGCATTCACCAGAAACGAGAGAAGAAGGGATGGACTCGCCTGGGAAGAATAAAAGACACGTAAAATGATCAAAATATCCTAATTATTTTAACAATTAAAAATTTCCGGCAAAATTTAGCCAGAGTGATCAAAATTGAAAAAAAATTGCATAATTAAGATACTAAATTGACACTTTTAAAAGTCAAAGGATTAAATTAACAAGATCCATATAGTCATATAACCAAAATTGAAATTTCGATTAACTAACTTATGAGTTAGGAGCCCATTGGTGAGGCGACTGGTACGACGCCGTTTTGCATACAAGATTGGTGACGAATTCTTAGACTCTGCCGCCACCGTATACATTCGCCCTAAGGCTGATACTGAACAGCGCTGCAATGGCGAAGGAAGAGGGCGGAGGAGCTGAAACCGGAGAGAAGGAAGGGCATAACCTATTGGGCGAACCGACCTTCCAGAAGCTGGAGAATGGCCGCTTCAAGTGCGTGGAGACGGGCCACGAGCTCCCGGCTCATACCAGAGATTCGTATGCTCGGAGCAAGCACTGCCGTTTAGGCCTCATCGATGCAGCTCTGGCTAGTAAAAAGCCCCCTCTCAACATGTTCTCTCAGGATCCTCTTTCCAAGTAATTCCCTTTTCCCTTATTCTAGGTTTATCGTTCGTTTACTATAGCATCTGATATTTTCCCTCTATATAAGTATATCTCACCATTTTCAAGTGAAAAATTCTTTGTTACTGTCATTGCGTGATTTCTTATGTTAAAAGATTTATGCTTTTAAGTTATGATGATGATCCTCGGCAAATTATCGACAATTGTTCAGTTAGCAGATAAAATGAAATGTTTGTAATTGAATCTAGTTACAGTTTATTGTTCGAGCATTAACATTATTTTATTCACATCTGATATTACTGGTGATCTATATGGGGTGTGTTTCTGGTGCTCTGTGCTGAATGTTAGTTTGTTGTGTGATTGGTGCAGGTCAAAATTGAAATGTAAGTTGACAGGCCTCATTGTTAACAAATCTGAGGAGCATATTTGGAAGCATATTAATGGGAAACGCTTCCTCAGAATGTTAGGTCTGTGAGCTCTTTCTCAAATGTTTAGCTATACAACAGTTTATTGAGACTTGTGAGCTAGAATTCAGTTTAGTGTATGAATTGTGATGTACTGAAAATTTATACAGAGAAGAAGGAAGCTGAGCAAGAAATGCCAGATCGAATGGTCGAAGAGAATATTGAACAAGTAGAGGAAAAGCCAAAGAAGAAAGCTAGTAGTTTGAAGAAAAAGAAAAAGGAGAAAGCAGAAAATGCTGCCAATATTGTATCTGAAATGAGGGATATTACTGGGAATGACAGTGATTCAGAAGAAGCTGAGTTCTGGATGCCTCCAGCTGGAGAACGTTGGGATTTTGATGATGGGGGAAACCGATGGGGTTCTGGCTCAGAGTCAGAACCTGAAAATGATGATGCTAATGGTGAAGGTATGCACTTGAATCCAATTCTGCTAACAGGGGCGAAGGGTTTATTTAACCAATGAAAATGAATTATTAGTGATTCGGCTCAGTATTATTTATTAAGGAAATGTTCAGATGAGTCCTGCATGGTACTATTTAAAAAAGTGGTACCATACTACCATCCCTTGATCTAACAGGCGATTTGGTACAAATTTTAAATCATTTGCCTCTGTTGACTCCAGATCTTTCTTACATAAATATAGAATTCATGCAAAACGTGTTCTTACTTTTGTTTCAATATTTCTTGTTTTGCCACCAGATGAATTGATTGAAGAGGCTACCCATGAAGCAGGAGAACTCTCTAAGCAGTATGTTCGAAACTTGTTTACTTTTCATGAATCTTGGTATGCATTTCGTTTATCATGTGTAGAAGTTATATCCAGATAGAAGGCCATGAGTATTAAGCAGTATTTAAAGGAAATGAAAAAGGAATCCTTTTTCCTCATCTTCTCTCTTGGTCCCCTGTTTTTAAAGTTGTTTTCTTAGATCAGAAGAGAAGGAGGCATTGGAGTTTCAAGTGTTGATAAGTTTGTTTATTTGCTTTGAAGGACAAAGCGAATGACCCTTGAGATTGGACCCAGCAGCTTTGCTCCAAGGAAAAAGAAGAAGAAGACAAATGCTTCGTGATGAGAATTGAACTTCTTTGTAGGTGATTATGTCAAGGAACGAGATTTCAGCACAGCAGTGACTCACAAGTTCTGTGTTTTTCTTAATCAGTACTCTAAAATTTATTTTTTTACGTGAGGGAAACAGAAATATGTACTTGCTTGGCGTTCTGATATGGTGATTCTGTTTTCTCCGACACTTGTTGGAACGAAAGCCTGAATTTTGAGATTAAGTCCGCCATTATATCAGCAGTTGTTACTGTCAATTATAAACGATAAATGTTTAAATTCACTAATCTTTGAGGCCTGACAACACTACCAATTTTGCATAAAAAGGTTGTCGGACTTGGTGATCAATAAGAACAACAAAGGGGAAAAACCACTTCCACTTGGTTCCCCCATAAAATATGATTGCTATCCCTCAACGTAGGTTTCAAAATTTACAACTTGCTGCTAACAATTTAATAGTAAGGTTTTCACAGAAATTTGCATTGTTGATCTCGAATCACAATTGAAAATATCGTCATCCTTTGGATGTTAATTGTTGTTATATCAAGGTCCTGCCATCCATTCCTGAAAATATAATAAAGCTTATATCAGCAAGGAAAGGACCGAGTCTGATGAAACAATATGTATGAAAGAACAATAAGTATGGAGGCATGTCAATTCGAACTGGACCAGCAACATACAGAAGATTTCCTACCTTGTTTCAAGGTATCAAATTCACAGCACCGTAAGATCCTATTCCCACATTTTCTTTTTTGCAATTAAAACTCTTTCTTCAACAGTCAATGAGAGAGCATCACCCCGAGGTTCAACCTCTGATACCCAGCCATCCCACCGTAATGCTTTTAGGAACTTTCTTATATGGTTTACAACAGGAAGTGTGTCTCTTATAATGATGAATCCTTCCGGTCGTAGCATGCGGTCCATCTCAATAAGTAGATCCTCTGTGCTACAGCCATGAGACTCGATGTCTGAGAAGACTATGTAGGCATGAAGTAGGTCATAAGTGCGTGGATATGTTGAAAATGATTCACACCTGAATATCGATGATGATTAGTCCATGTCACTCGTATTATTACACAATGTCTAAAACCAAACAAAACTATTGTTTGTTTTTATCAAGTAAATTGTTCCTAGCCATTTTAGTTTATGATGTGTTATACAAAGAAAAGAATATCACTCTTATGCTTCTTTACATATTAAAAAAGAAAAAGAGCAACCAAATACCACTTAATTCAACCATACAGCTCATTATTGTGTAAAGATAGTAGTACTAGGAAAATTGCTTACCAATCATGAACAGTTCCCATTAAGCCTCGATCATAAACAATTTTCAATCTAGAAGATGCATTGACAGGAGCAACATTCATCACCCAAACATCCTTGTCTTTGAGGGCAGCAGCAAATCCACCAAGGTTTGAGTTCATGTCCATAACATTTCTGAAAGAGTTCTTCTGCACAACAGATCTCATTTGCTTCCAATAGTCAACAACTCTATCATGCCATATACTCTGTACCATAACTGACAAGATCACAACATTGACCAAACATAATAGCACTTGGATAGTGGAAATTTCAAGATGGCATACTCCTGATATTCAAGAAACTTACAGTGTCTTTTTGAAATTCTTCTATACTAATACCAATTTCTTTTAAGCGAGGAGGTGCTGCTGTAAGCCTCTGTGGCCAAGGTTCTAGTCCGCTCCCTTTGTCCCGATGCATCTCTGCATTAACAAAATAAAATAAAATAAACATGTGCCAAAATAACAATTTGTAAGGCAAAATATTTATGTTCATCTCTTTGGAATCACTAGGGATTATTATATATCTAAAAGGAATATTTGGACCATTAGTGCTTGCCTCTTGTACTTACTTGGTGAGTAGGGAGTAATGCATGCCTTCATAAGCACATTCCAAGTGGCATCAGGATCATCATCAGAGCTGCACAAGGGAGGTAGCGTTCTTGGATTTCTCTTTGTAAAACAGCTATTACTCAGAGATTTAGCCCATATCACTGTTTGGTCTCTCCTTGAAACCACTCTCCAGCACAATTTTTTCAAAAACTCATGCATAGCATTCCCTATTCTTTGGTTCTCAGGATCATGTGCATATGCTTCTGGTGAGGAGTATACAAAATATCCACCAGGACGAAGCAATCTGTCCAGTTCTGACAAAAGAATGCCATCTCGTTGGAGCCAGTCAATCCTACAACGGGAACAATGTGCCAACTCAAATGATCTACTAGGATAAGGCAGTCTCATGGTGCCCAAGACACCCAATGTAGATGGAATCCCTCTCTCCAAGGCGAACTGTATTTGATTCTCGTGTACATCATTTGGAGCAATTGACATAGCTATGATATTGTGTGAGAGAAGATATGCACCAAAGCTAGCAACACCACAACCCACATCAAGTACATTTCTTATCTTTCCACCATTACTGAGCTTTTCACCAGGAATTTTGAGCATCTACAGAAGCAGAGTAAAACAGTTACCTTTTAAATTGTCAGTGATCAGTTCACACCACATTTTGGAACAGAGGAAATACCGCTGCAATAGATGTTATGTACTTGTCAGCTCCATAATGAAAATGCGTCCCCCCACCAGGAAACCTTATTTTGTCTCCCTCAACCACCATCCAGTTCTGGTCTGATTTCTCTGTTGCTAACTGCGTATGGGGTATGTTTGCTTTCCACACTTGGTCCCTACTGGCCGGCCATCTAATTGGAATCTGAACATCTAACAATGACTCATCGGCATCAAATTCAACAGAAAGAAACTTGGCAAAGTTCTTAAAGTTAGCATACTATATGTCTACACCAAGAGGACAAAAGTATTCCAAGGGAAAATTGGGCAAAAACAAGCTAGACCAGACTACATTAATTAACATTGAAATTGGTTTTTTATCCCCATTTGACACGGAATTTTACCTTTTTTTGGTAGGATTCCTAAAATAAGATCACTGAAAACGTATGACTTACTAACCTTGTAACCAACCGGCGGAGGAACGAGGCAATTGTAACGACGCTGCGGAGGTGGGCAATGCCTCTCGTAATGCTCCATCAAAGTCAAGTTGAGCTTCAACCTGGATTGATATATGAAATTCCTATCCAAACATGGAATCAACTCCGAATATTTCATATCACAGACCTACAAAAAGAAAATAATCAATCAATTAACAATCAGGAAACGTATAGTACGCTTAGACACGCGGCTTTAAGGACCACTTCGGCACGTGTATATTTAATGCACAGGACAAAACTTGAGACTCATACATGAATTCTTTTGGGAAGTTCCAGGCTGTGCTCCATATTATCAATCCAGTCTTCGACGTCATCGCCTCTAGCGGCGACGGGATCAGAGCCATCGTCGAACGTCTCAAAGCCTTTTTTCGACAGAGCGGGAGCGACGACAGAACCATTATAGAGACAAACCAAACCGAGGAACACAATCAATCCAATGAGAATGTACTTGAGCAGCTTCGCGGAATGCAGAACGTCTCTCTTCTGCTTCATTTTCGCTTCTTCTCGGATATATTTATCTCTATCTATCAGCAACTAGGGCTCTGACAGCAGAGGGCGATTTCTTCTAAGCTAATTAACCCTTGGCTGAAGATCCATATCTGCAAAACAAAGCAAGGAATAATGATTCCGAGTTTTCCTTTTTCTGGAATCGAGCTCAAAATAAACAGAAAACCTCGGGAATGTATGTATACGGAAAATTTCCAAAAACGAAGTTGAAAGTGCACAACGGCCAAGAAATACCGGCGGTTGAGCGCCGTTCTGCGGAGGTCAGTGTTCACACGCTGGCAGCTGCTTTGAGGTGGTCGAGGAGCCTGAGCCGATGGGATCCAGTACGATATAAAGCGCTTGGGTGGATGCGAAATGAAGTGCTATTGGCTGAGGGTAAAAATGCGGTTGAGCTTTTCCCAATTTGGGTGAGAAATCGTTGATGGACAGAGGGTTGTTTGGTCTTTTCAGTAGGAAGGGGTCAAAAAGGATTTGTAAGGGGGACCCACTTTTAACCAACTTGCATACTGTCTGAGTGTCTGTGTACTGGGTAGGGGCCCACCGTCCACAGTGACTGTTTATCTGGGGAATTCTCGAGTTTTGTGACGCGCCTGTATGCTGTTGGGCCCCCAATCTCTACTCTTACTTTGAATGCCCCATTAACATTTAACAATACTGTGAGTCCAAAGGACTTCTATTTCATGGCAGTTGGCCCATCATCAACTCCATAATGGATCAAATTCCAAACCAATCCAACCATATATCAGTTGTTATATTGTGAATTTAGTCCACATAACGCTATGTGAACAATCATTGTTCTAATATAATTATCAAATAAAATTATAGTAGAGTTAAAATGATACTTTAATATTACTAAAATGAAACTAAAAACATAGTAAATAAAATAACGTATATTGTCAAATGAAACTGTCAATTACAATATAATTGAAATGATACTTTAGTGTCATTATTATGAAACTAGTGTGTGTAAAAATAAAACTAAAAACAGAAGACATACAATAACCTATTGTCAAATAAACATTAAATGTAATTAAAATTATATTTCAGTGTTACTAAAATTAAATTAGTGTGAAAAGTGAAACTAAAAAAAAATAAAAATAGAGCTTATACAATAACGTATATTGTTAAACAAAACTGTAATACGAGATCATTTTACTTGGTGGCCAATGCTACTAGGACTACGTAAACCTGACACACTCGAAAATTCTAACTGACCCGCTACCCGCAATCAAGGCAACCGAATCGAACCACACCCGATATCCTAAAAATAAATTGTTATTTATGATATATATTATAATACTTATATGTGAAATTATGATACTATTTATGGTAAAAATGATTGTTATTAATAATAAATATTGTAATCTTCTATATATATATATATAAAAGTAAAATCCTCCTATGTAATTTTCCCGCTCAAACTTTTATAGTCAAATTAATGAAATATTTTATTGGTCAAATTAATAAAACTTCTTTGGTAAGCAAATGTAAAATGGAAATGTTATAAAAGCTATTAATTGGTAATATTATGTAATACCAATATACCATTGTGAAATCCAGTAAAGATAAATTGAAAAAAGGAAACTAATATTATTAATTGATGAAAATATAAAAGGATTCTAATGGAATAGGAAATAGAAATTAGGCAAATTGAAAAAAGAAAATGGATATTATTGATTGACTGAAAAGTATAAAGCCTAATTGATTGAAAATATAAAAAGAAATTAATTCTCACATTCTCTATCTCTACCTATAAATACAATGGATTAGTGACAAGAAAAATTATAACTCTTCCTTTTTGTACTGGGGTGAGTTCTGTATTGCGTCTTTCATTTTCCAATGGCATAATTCTTAATTTATGTTCTTATTTCTTTTCTGCATCTTTTGCAAATATTGCAGGATACAAATATAGAGACAATTGAAATGGTTCTGAGCAACTATTTACACGCATTAATGAGAGTTGATGACTTCCAACACCACGTGTGCCCACATTGTAGAAGGTACGCACAATAACTGGATAAACTAGAATGATGTTAAGCATTGACAATTACAACGAATTTATAAATTTACATGTAATATGCATTATTATTATATAATAGTTGACACTACATTTATTTTTTAAAATTATTTCTCTTTTTTTTTATATTTATTTTAATAATAATATAATTGTCTAACTGTTGTAGCAGGAAGTCACAACGAAATTGTTGGTAGTCAACTTCATCCTACACTCATTTGGAATAGAATCAATGTTGGAGTGCTCCGTGTTGTTCATTTTCCAAAGGCAAGAGGTTCTGAAACAATAAACTCTATAGAGTGTGTAGTCCATGATAAAGAGGTTTTTTTTTTTGGGTACTATGATCTTAATTTTAAATTTTTAATAGTTTGTATTTCAAAACTTTTAGTTTATGCATATGGTTGTTTTATAACATTTTCTTTTTACATTACAAATTCGTGGTACTTTTCTACATATGCATATTCTTCGAAAGAATGTGATTTAAATAATGATGGATATGTTAATAGCTCTAAAGATTGAAGTAGTTATTCCAACATTCAACTTCACTTATAATTTTATATTTCGTTATAGTTATGTAATAGGCATTTCTCACTTCTCAATAAGAATATGTTTCTGTTTTTGAGAATTTTGGGTAATATTTACCTTACTTTACTACTACTCTGCACTACTCTTTGAAATTTTCGAAATAGAATCACACAGACTTTTATGAATCATTTACGAAACAGAATCAAATTTATGGATGTGGTTACATTTTTGCCAATTTTTTGTTAAGAGTTTTCCAATTTGTATCATTTAACAATTTAATCATTTTTAATTTATATATAACTTAATAAAGCTTATTCTGTAACCAAGTATTTTGTAATATTTACGGTGTGTATATATATATATATATGTGTGTGTGTGTGACCTCACGATCAAAATAAATTATAAAACAATTTATGTATATAATTTTTCGCTCCTTATAATAAAATAATTCAATAAAGGTTTATATGTAAGAAAATAACCTGTAATATTTACCTTTTAAGTATAATTTATCCATTTAATTACTTTTTATTTGATAAAAGTAATTTTCTAACCAAACAATTGGTAATATTTACGAGTTATTGAACCAACCTTCATATTTCCGGTTAAATGAGTACACAAGATGAAATATATGTTCATTGCACGAAATCTTAATATTAATTAAGTTGCCAAATTGTATATTGCATAAGAATTATTCATACCATAATATGAATTGTAACCAATTTAATAAATCTAAATATTAACAAGTATGTATGTTAATATTATTTCATATGAACGTAATACCATAATATATATATATATATATATATATATATATATATATATATATATTAAAAGTAAAATCCTCCTACATCATTTTCACGTCCAAATTTTTGTACTAAATTAATTAAATATTTTATATTTTTTAGTCAAATAATTAATAAATCTTATTTGGTAAGCATATGTTTAATGTTTTTTTTGAATGCAAGCATATGTTTAATGTAAATTAATTAAAATGTATTAATTGGTAATATTGCATAATTATGGTATTGTAAATGTATTAATTGTTAATTAATTTATAGTAACGTGAATATTATGTATAGGAATAACATATGAAACACGGATTTGGAAAACGAAATTGAAATTATGCAAATTCAAAAAGGAAATGTATATTATTAATGGACTGAAAATTATAAAAATCCCTAATTGACTGAATAGAAAAGGAAATGGAAAATGAAATTTATATTATTAATTTATAATTCTCACATTCTCTACCTATAAATACAATCCATTGGTGACAAAAAAAAATGGAGAGTTTTTTTTTTTTTTTTTTTTTTAAACCAGAAGTTTCAATTTCTATGTTTTTTCGTATACAAATTTTAATTGTATGGTTGTTTTACAACATTTTCTTTTTACACTACAAATTCATGGTACTTTTCTACATATGCATATTCTTCGAAAGAATGTGATTCAAATAATGATGGATATGTTAATAGCTCTAAAGATTGTATAGTTATTCCAACATTCAACTTCACTTATAATTTTATATTTTGTTATTGTTATGTAATAGGCATTTCTCACTTCTCAATAAGATCAAATATGTTTCTGGTTTTGAGAATTTTGGGTAATATTTACCTTAATTTACTACTACTCTGCACTATTTTTTGAAATAGAATCACACAGACTTTTATAAATCATTTACGAAATAGAATCAAATTTACGGATGTGGTTACATTTTTGCCAATTTTTTGTTAAGAGTTTTCCAATTTTTATCATTTAACAATTTAATCATTTTTAATTTATATATAACTTAATAAAGCTTATTCTGTAACCAAGTATTTTGTAATATTTACGGTGTGTATATATATGTGTGTGTGTGTGACCTCACGATCAAAATAAATTATAAAACAATTTATGTATATAATTTTTCGCTCCTTATAATAAAATAATTCAATAAAGGTTTATATGTAAGAAAATAACCCGTAATATTTACCTTTTAAGTATAATTTACCCATTTAATTACTTTTTATTTGATAAAAATAATTTTCTAACCAAACAATTGGTAATATTTACGAGTTATTGAACCAACCTTCATATTTCCGGTTAAATGAGTACACAAGATGAAATATATGTTCATTGCACGAAATCTTAATATTAATTAAGTTGCCAAATTGTATTTTGCATAAGAATTATTCATACCATAATATGAATTGTAACCAATTTAATAAATCTAAATATTAACAAGTATGTATGTTAATATTATTTCATATGAACGTAATACTATAATATATATATATATATATATATATATATATATATATATATCATGGTTGCAGTAGGCGCTGAGCGCTAGTCGGGCGGTCGGGCAGCGCCTAGCGCCTAAGCGGCCTAGTCGGCGCCTAGGCGAAATCTAGGCGGTCGCGAAAAAAATAGTAGCAGACTTGCAATTTGACAATTTTAATGAGGCTGTTTTCAACATTCAATCAAATAACACATCCAAATAAATGACATAATGACAATTCATAAGTCATAACATCAAAAGAATATTAAAAAAAAAAAAAAAAACTCAAATGAAATACCCAAATACTTCAATCATCCAAAGATTGAAAGTATCAAACTAGTCTACGAGTGCATATATGTCATATTATATGTATATGTCATATAAATGGACAAAATTAGCAAGGTCGAGTTAACTCGACTAACTCAACAGAAATTGACGAGTTAACTCGACGTAATCGGACGAGTTAGGCGCTAGGCGGCTGA